GAGAGAGAGAGAGAGAGAGAGAGAGAGACTTTAATTTCAATTCCCAGTCCAGATTATATGTATTTAAGGAGTTTTCACATTGTCCCCACTTCTTGTTACTGTTGTGTCCTTTGAATGCAGTAGACACTTAACATATCCTTTGATGTGCCAAATCAACTCAGTGACTGTAGAGGAGATAGGTAGGACCAGAGTGGGCTAATGGACAGCTGACCCTCAACCTTCATTTTGACCCTCCACTGAGACATCTCTGATTCATTCAGTTTGGTTTTAGAAAAGAACAAAAACAAAGTACACTAACACAGTTATCTATGCTGGGAAAGAAATTCTGCTTAGCCTGAGTCTATTGTAAAGTAGATAAAGGAGAGCTAGTATTGAAAAGACATTTGCACCGGGGATGATAACATGTTTGTATGTCATCATGTGCATATAACCACAATCAATAAGTTTCTAACTTAACCAGTGATACAGAAGATAAGGGAAGAATATGACTAGTTTAAGACCAGTATTGCATGTTTAATTTTTTGCTGGAGTTTTCTACCCAAATTCTTCCTTCCCCATGTGCATGCATGGGTAAAGAGGAACTGTTAAAAAAAAATGGTTCTCCTACTCTGCCTTTACCCCTCATGCTAAGTGTATGCTTTCACTCCATAAAACAACATGTCAGCAAGGTATGTACTTCTTCCTGGAGAAGTGTTAACTTTCTCTTGCTCCTTGGAATAAATTTAGTGCTAGCGAGACCAGGTTTGGGAGAGATAACAGAAATAATGCCATCAGAACCCATTCACAGGACCCATCTCCAGCTCTATGGTATTCTAGGAGGCTCATCCTCCACAGATATCCAAAACAAGCTATTTTAAAATTAGTAAAAGATATCAGAAAAGTGGCCAAAATAATAATGAATATACAAATCTCAGTTAGCTCTTTGTACAGTAGAAGTAAATACTTAAATGATATAATTAAGGAAAAATTCTTCCCACACTGATAACAAAATGCAGTTCCTAAGCCCAAATGTAAAAACATGGCTGGCTCTGTAGATAGAAAAACACACTTACTGTGAAATAAGAAAGACAGCTTAAGTGGGGAGATACAGATGATCTGAAAGTAATATATACACTGCAAGAGGTCTTTCTTCTAAAGTTAGTTTTTGGTTCAACTTTACAAAACAATTCTGAAGTTCACTTAGAAGATCAAGTACATGAGAATAAAGTAAACTTTGAAAACATAGTAATTGAAAGGATTTTTCACTCTAAGATATAAAAAGTTATCATTTAGTTGAAATAAGTAAATCAGGGCAGAACTGACATGAGAAGAGCATCCACATCAGTAGGAAGGACACATGGTGCTCAAACAAAATCTTAGCATATGTGTATGGGGCTAAGGGATGCAGGAAAATCGGCAGCCTACTTAGACATCAGATGGAACATGGAAGAATTGATTGCTACCTGAGAAAAGTAAAGTCATGCATAATAACAAAATTGGCATTCTTATCCTTTTCCAGATTGAAGCGATCATGAAGGACTGGAGCCATGGTCTATAATAGAGTACACACATAGCATGTGGGAGACACTGAGTGCAAAGCTCAATTTTACCAAGCAATAAGAGATGAATGGGGTGGGGGAAGGCATTAACTAAATCTCCAAGACTATAGCACAGATATTCATTCAATATAAGAATTAGAACTAGTCTGGAAAGAATCCTGAGCTCCTAGCCTAGTTCTGTCTCTTTTCTGTTTATTTGTGATCTTAAGGATCTTTGTCAGTGAGCACTGTCATTTTTCCTAATAGGTGAAAAATTAGAGTTTTATATTAACCAATTCTCAATTCAATTCTGTGTCTGAAAACTAATACCAAATCTATCACCTATGCAGGGAAAGTGAACACAAAGACTGGAAGAGACAGCCTGAGACTCCTCCTCCAACACTTAGCTACATGACCTTAGGAAAACTTCCATCATCTTTCAGTTACGCCAGCTAAAAATAAACTAAGGGAAGTATCTCTTCTATTAGCCGTTTAGAAATAAGGCAGAGCACATAAGTGTTTTGAGTGATGCCTGGTATTTACTTCCTCAGCTGTGTTATTTTTTTCAGTTGGAGATACCAGAACATTATTCCAGCACTGCCCACCCATTCACTCAAGTACAGTGAAACCAGAACCTTCTTTCTAGAGGGAGTCTTATGAGCATGGCTAGGAGAAAGATAGTGTAGCTAGGAAATAAAACACCCAGGAAATGGTGGACCTCTGTTCTTGCCTTTCCTCTTATCCTTTCCAGAGCCTTTGAAATGTTGCTGCAGCTCTTAAAATTTCATGGCCAATGAATAACACTGGCCATTAGCACTTTCAAGATTAGCATGTTCAGTGAGGGACAGAAAGCTCCATTTCATTTGCCTGATGAATAAACATAGTCCCAAAGTGGGTGAGTTCAACATTTTTCCAACATGCCTGTTAATAATCCACAGAAGAGCTTTCCCTTAATATAATTTGAAAGAGTTAGAAGGAGTTTGGATGAATTTAACTCAAAATTATTTACCTAGTCTAGTCAAGAGGGGAAATTCTTTTGAAGTATTACTGAATTTTACTTTGTTAGAAGCTACTGATGTGTGTGTGTGTGTGTGTGTGTATACAGCCTTCCTCTTGGAATTTTCAATGGTGATAGACCCTCTAAAGTCTAAGACCCAGTCCAAAGTACTTTAGCAGCTCCATGGAAGTAGAGACTTGAAATTTCCCTGAAGGCCTCAAAAAACCTTACATAGTCCTATCAGCAAACAGAAGTGCAACAGCCTCTCCATATTCAATCCATTTTGTCAGCTGGAAGAAAAACCCCAATATGTTCATGATTTCTAAAGGTATAACCTACTTTTTTATTCAGGCCCTAGCTAAACATCTTCCACATTTCCAGACATAGTTCACAGGCATCTCCAGCAGGGAGAGTGTTCTTTGATGACCATTTGAATCATGGGCGGAAGAATTTTCTAGAGAACATTTCCATGGCCCATAGTAAAGTCTAGCACCAGAGTAACAGGAACAGCAGTGCTGCCTGACCTGTCACCATGATGAACTCATGTCTGAGGCTGGGTTACAGAGGATATAATGGCATTATATGCATAGCATGGGAAGGAGAAGGCGTAGCTCTTAAAGCAGTGTGGAAAATCCTGCATCTGTGACAGGGTGAAGGAGAATAGGGTTGTCATGCCCACTGAGGTTTCTGTGAGTAGCAGTTTCCTGGACCATGTCATATATATCATAGACTAAAGCATATTAAACAGTCCACTTGGGAAGCTCTCTTGCCTTTTTCATTCACTGTAGTAGATAATTAATTTCAAGTGGACATGGATTATTTTGATTTTTCACAGTGTATCTCTCTGTTGTCTGAAGAATTTTCCCTTGATAAGTCTGGGACCATTTTAGATTCAGGATGAGTGAACTTTGTGAAACTTGTACCAGTTTCTTAGCAGGGAGCCTGTTGTAGTCACTGTACAGTGCTATTTGGTATGTCCTAATAATTGCTTTAAATTAATTTCAGATTCTTTTAGTGACCATTATACTCACTTTGAAATAGTTGTGAAGGCTCTTCTGATCAATGCTTTTGATGGATCTTTTCTGGAAAGTTTGTATGGTAAGTTATTAGTATCACTAAAATTTTTGTTGTTATTATTGTTTTTAATTTTCCTAAATAGCGTTTGAAACTAAATGAAACAAAGCCAAGACAAACCATTCTTAAGTCTTGCCACTTAAACAGTTTGCTACTTGAGATCTATAGATGGCAAGTAGGTGACAAGTCGTTGCTCCCAAAGTGTCTACAGTAAATTGTAGAATATCAAACATACACACTACAACATAAGGGTGCCTCAACATTCATGTTATCAGGACCTCTAAGACTTTGAACTTTACCAACAGACACATGCTGTTTTCTGTTTTTATACCATGGTCCATTCTGTTCTCTATCAGAATGTAATTCTTTTTTGTTAATTGCAGATAGTCTAAGTAAGTTGTGAAAGCTGTGAATACTTTTCATTGCCTCACTCAACGCCATTCTCATCCTGAGTATGTGTGTACCCTTACATGTGAATTATTGTATTGTGTCAAAAGTGAACCTCTACTGTCTTGCATTACTAGAATATGAGAAATTAAACTTTAAACATACACAGATCTCTAGCAAAAAATCTGACATTTCATAGACTGTATATGTTGTGCTGAATACCTATAAGTACTTAAGTAAGATTTTATTCATAAGTTATAGAAAAATGTGTTTTGAATGATCCAGGCACTATTTGAGGATTGGTAATGACTTCAAGACATTAGAGTCTTATCTTTTGTAGCTTAAAATTAATCAGACACTGAGTAAACAAGTAGATAGCATAATATGTGAGCTAAAAACTAGATTGTACCTCTTATGGAAATAAAGAGTACAGAGTTGAACAATAAGAGAAGCTATTGTCTATTAGATAGATGTCAGATAGATAGATGATAGATAGATAGATAGATAGATAGATAGATAGATAGATGACAGATAGATAGATAGATAGATGGTAGAAACATACATACATACATTCATACACACACACACAGATAGACAGACAGACAGACAGAGTCTTAGGTAGGGTTTCTATTGCTTAGATAAATCACCATGACCAAAAGCAACTTAAATAGGAAGGAATTTATTTCAGTTTATAACTCTCAGGTCACACTCCTTCACTGAGGGGAGTTAAGGCAGAAACCTTAATGTAAGAACTGAAGCAAAGCCACAAATAGTGCTGAGTACTGGCTTATTTTCATGGCTTGCTCAATCTGCTTGCTTATACACCCCAGGACTATACCACCTGTCCAGAGGTTGCCTCACCCACAATGGACTGGTCCCTCCTAAATCAATCACTAATTAAGAAGTTGTACTAAAGACTTGCCTAGGCAAGCCTTACAGAGTAATCTTCTCAACCGATAGTCCCTCTTCCTAAATGACTCTAACTTGTGTCAAGTTGGCACCTAGCCAGAACAGATAGATAAACTGTAATATAACATATGTGCAAATGTAAGTATGTGAATAGTTTCAAAGAATGTAATGAAGAAGTAGATTTTAAACAGAAACAATGAGTAAGGTAATATTAATTTGCTTTATATTTCTGTGATAAAAAATACTGACAAAAAGCAATATGGGAAATAAAAGTTTATTTGGTTTATATATACTGAGTCACAGTTTATTGAGGGAAGCCAAGGCAGGAACATGGAGGCAGGAACCAAAACAAAGGAAATAGAGGAGTGTTGCTTACTGGGTTTCTTAGCCTGCTCTCTTATACAACACAAGACTACCTGCCCAGGGATAGCATTACCCACAATGAGCTAGGCCTTCTCACTTTCATTATTAATCAAGAAAATGCCCTTAGAAATTTGCCTATAGGCAGTCTGATGAAAGTATTTTCTCAATTGAGTTTTCTTCTCCCTACATATGTCTAGTTTTGGATCAAGTTGACAAAAACCAGCCAGGACAATTGACCCCTTATCAGTTTGATGTACCAGTATATTACTGTTACACCATATGTTGAATTATATTGCTAATTAATAAATCCCTGCAGCAGGTTCACTACCTGCCTCAATGCTTTATGTTCCCGAATGGAAGACACAGACACACACACAGCCTTTAATTTTAATGTGCTTTATACAGCTCAGTAGCTGGGCCACTCACTGCCTAACCTCCACGTGGTTAATCCTGAGTTATTTCTTACTAATTCTATGTCCTATCTTGGCTGCTCTAGATCCAGAGGGCTGCCCAACTGAGCCATGCTCTGGATCGCAGTCTCCTGGCTCCTTCACATGGCAGCCATGCCTCTCTGTCCTGCACTCTTCTCAGGCATGGTGTCTCTCCTCTCCTCCAGACTCTCTGGACATGGCAGATCTCCCTTCTCCTTTCTCCTCTTCTCCTGGTCCTGGGAAATTCCAAAAATCTGCCTCTGTCTGTCCTTCCCAGCTATTGGCTGTTGGCATTTTTATTTACCAATCGGAACCAACCAGGGGCAGGTTCCCAGAAGCTGTGTAGAGACACTTGTGTAGCAGCATTAGGGACAAAAATTAGACTACAAGCATCATTAGGCCAAACCCACTACACCATACCCTTCCTTTCTTGTATATTTATAAGTTCTCATATTAATATCGATATTTCAATAAAGAGTAAATTCCCCACAGTCTGTAAAAATTCAAATATTCTTAAGTTCAGTCTTTTTAAAACATTAAAAGTCTCTGTCAAAGTTCAAAGCCTCTTTAAAACTGCAAAGTCTCTAAGCTGTGGGCTCCCGTAACATCAAAATCAAAAGACAAGTCAAATATTTTCTTTCTGCAAGAGAGAAGAACCAGTGCATATTCACAACCAAATAAAACCAGAACCAAGGTCTACCAGTTTAAAGTTCAGTGTCAGACTTCTGGGACTCATGATCTTCTGGGCTCCAAAGGGGTTAAGCAGCTCTTGTTCTCTGGCTCTGTTATTCTCAGTACACACAGCTTGTCTCTGAGGCTCAGGCTGACTCTATTCTATACTAGCTACTCTCTGTGGTGCTCATCCCATGGTATTGGCTTCGCCAGTATGCTGGAGACTCTACAGTAACAGCTCTATATCTTTGCCAATAGCCTTTCTTTGGCTGTCTTCAAGGACTCTTTCCAATGCCACATGGTGCTACGCTTCAGCTTCCCTCTGACTCCTTCATGCCTTCAAAACTAGTATTGCCTCCATGACTCCTATTCATTGTCCAGTTTGGCTACTATACAGGGTATACCCTTGACCCAATTTGGATCATATCTTCCGAGCCTGAAGAAATGATCCCCAGAAGCTACTGGTCTCCTTTTTACAGCTGATTCTTCAGTCCCAGCTGGCCAGCACCACAGATTCTTAATTCAAGGCATTATTCAAACAGCCCCAAAAGAGTCTATTCTTACACTGGAACTTCACAAACCAGGCCCCCATTGTCCATATTACTCTCCGAATTCTTATCTTTCAGGATCCCACAGAACTGCCCATTAAGCTCTTGTTTAGCCCAAAGTTTCCAACATCTCTGTAATCCTTCCAAAGCAACATGGTCAGTTCTATCAAAGAAATATTCTACTAATGCTACCAATTTCTGTGTTAGTCTGTTTTATATTACTACAATAAATTACTAACCAAATGCAACTTGGGGGAAGTGTTTACTGGCTTGTATATACTAGGTCATAGTCCACTGAGGGAAGCCAAGGCAGGAACTCAAGGCAAGAACCTGGAGGCAATAATTCAAACAGAGGTCTTAGAGGAGTTCTGTTTACTGGCTTACTTTCCATTGTTTGCTAAGTCTACTTTTTTATACAACTCATCTTGTATTTAGAGAGTTATGTGTCAAGTTGACAAAACAAAACCAGGACAGGATCTACATCAGTTTTATGCTTAGGGCCATAGTAAGAATTAAGAGCATTTAAGAACAACTAGGAAGACCAATTGTCATTATTGTGCACTGAGTCAGCAGGGAGAGGAGAAGACATCAAAGGAGTAGACAGTGGGAAAGGGGCTCTTAATTCATCATCTAGTCTTTAAATTTGTAGTGACTTATTAAAACATGAGAAATTTATTAACTAAATTCACATGGAAATCTGAAGAGAGCAGAAAAGTTAGCATCATAGGCTATGACAAATATGTATAAATTGAGAACAAAATACTAATCAAATTTGGAAAGCAAAAATAAGATGTGGTGTGCTATGAGGAAATAAGGGGAAAGATAAGGCAAAAAAAAGATGTTTCCATTGTGATGGCAAGATCCATGGGTTGATCCATGGATGGAACCAGCTACAGAGCGCCTTAAAAATGGGATCAGTAATTCAATGGTCATGCAAATTGGTTTTAAAGGAAGAGTTAAATGTTCTGTTCAAGCTTTTTCATGTGTCTCCTTGTGCTATTGGAGATAGATAGATGATAGATAGATAGATAGATAGATAGATAGATAGATAGATAGATAGATAATGAGAAAGTCTGAAAATTATGAAAGGGTGACTGAAACTCTGCCCTGTTCTCTGCCCCCATGCTTTCATGAAATGAAGCTTTTATTTCATTAAGTATTTCCTAATTTAAAATAGTTTCAACTATCCAGCCTTCTTTCTAAAACTCAAACATAGTATTCAGTTGATTCAGTATTTCAAGTGTTGTTTTGTTTTTGTTCATCTGCTACTCACAGATGGCACCAGGAAGAAATCCTATGCACAAGATATGTTGACATCTCTTCATTATTTGGATAATCGCTTTATTCAACCCCGTCTAGAGAGTTTAGTCTCTAGAAGTCGATGGAAAGAGCAATATAAGGTATATAGTTTGCCTTTAATCTCTGATACAAACATTGGGACAGTGGCCCTCTCAAGATTCCAATATCCACCCAGAAGGAATAATTTTCTGATGCATAGGCCTTCTGCTTTGTTGAATAATAACATTTTAATCTCTTCTAAAGGCTTTAATTATTTTAAGTATCCACACTAATGTCTTCAATAATTAAATGGTTTGAAATAATTTCAGAGCATCTCTAGGGCTTAGCCTATTTTAAAATGAGGAGATTGTCTTATAAGATGCTTCTTCAGAGAAGAAAGTCACATAGACAAAGAAGTTGGAAAAAGCAGTGTGTAACTTGAACTGGCTCTGTATTGGAGCACTTTTCTGAGCACTAATTCATGAATTTATATGTCAGGTTTTTAAGGCGGGGATTAGACAGCAGCATTTCCCAAATTAATGTGTCCCATGAGGCTGCTTCTTGTGAGATGCCTGTTATTTCTTCTACTGCTTTAAATATTTTACTGTGTATATATGTTTGAAGGGTGTGTAAAAATATATGATGTGTGTGTGAATGAGGACCTATCCATGCCACAGTCCACGCCTGGTAGGGGAAAACTTTCAGGAGCTGTTATTTTCCTTCCACTCTAGGCTCCTGGAATCAAACTCAGGTCAACAGAATGATGTGGCAACATTTTTACCCATAAGCCATCAATTCAGGTCCCTCTTAGGATGTTTAATTTCAATATGGAAACTGACTTACATCACTCTGTAACTTAACATTTTATATTCTAGACGTTTGAGGATTTTTAACTTTATTAAATTGGAATTACTGGATTATATTTTATTCTCCAGATTTGTATTTTAGTGTATCTAATTGACAGAGCATGAACTATGTAATATTAAAAGGTACCCCAACCTTGATATTCAATTTTCTAAGATTAATAAGAAGAAAAATGATAGATAATAGACATTCAAATTCCTTAAAATCTCCCTAGCACTTAAATTAACTTCTATCCTCCTTTACTTCAGAAAACTGAGTTTCATCAAGAACTCTTCAACCTGAAGTAAGCCTGATGATAGGAAATGCCTCCGTTTGAGGGACAGTCAGGGGCTACAAACTCTAAGATTTCAAGTTCAAAGATGGCTTGAATTTAGAACTACCATATGTATGTTTTTATTTCTAGATTTTTAACACCATTAGATCCACAACTTATTCCTCAGATATGGAACAATATTTATCTACTTTTAAGGGAAATAGGTATTTATTTATTTTAGGTAAAATACATAAATCATTATAATATTATTTTCTTTAATACAGAGAAAAATGTTACAATTTTAAAGAACATTTAGCGTTTGACAAATGATTTACATGTGAAATGTATTTCATAAGTCCAAAGGAAAAGAACTAGTCTCTCCTTCATTTCACAGTGAAGAAAAGTGTACTCAGAGTGTAAAGTTCCACAGTTAGTAATTTCACAGGCCAGGATTTAATAGAGTCCAAGACTCTTAGGTCTATGTTATGTTATGCGTGGCCACACTGGCAAGTTACAGTGAATTTAGAAAATTCACAGTGAAATAACAAGATGCACAGAATTATGAGATAGATGATCCAGTAAGATCTTAGGGTATACTGAGTAATACTGAAGAAGATAAAGTAACATGAAGAAAGCTCACTGATGTGACCCAGAAAAGTACTGTGTCACTCCTATGTGGAGAGTGTTCTGCTCACTGTGGTCACTCAGGAAACCAAGCTGTTTGAGCTTTCATCACACTGCGCTTCACAGCACTACAGAAGCAGGAAGGCAAGAGCAGAGGACAGTAGTCTGGATTTCAGTCATTAGTGACATGCTGTGAAGTTTGAAGACTGTGACAGGTAAATCAGACCAGTGCTGTTGATCACACAATATGAAAAGGACCAGTGTACCATCCAGACTGCTGTAGGGGATGAATGTGGATTAGGAACCATGCTAGCAATATATTCAGTGTGTTCATTCAAGTGTGATATTAAAATACACTGCTAATGCAACAATGGTGACTAGCACAAGCTGGGGACAAGCAAAGTCATATAGAAGTGGCTTTATGGCTAACAGGGTTTGCTTATGCAGACCAGGGTTTTTCACATGCTTCACTCATTGATAATTAGTCACTAGATGGTCCATCAGTGCTGGACATGGAACATTAGTAATTGCAAGGTGCTTATTTTCACATGACAAAGCAGGTGACTACAGGAAGATTAAATTATTTCCAGAATGTTTTCAGGAAAATGTGATTTAACTCATGCCCTGAAGAATGAATGCAACTTTTTCAAATTTTAACTACCTTAAATGAACTCCACTTTCACTTTCCCTGATATTTTGTTGCTCATTTTCCTACTTTACTTAATGACTCATTGATATTAATTAGAGATGAGACTATGGAAAAGAAGTAAATTAAAGCCTATTGGAAATATTACTTGGTAGTAATTTGTAAGTAAAGAGATAAATGAAGCAAAGAACTATTCTCTCCTTCACTTCACAGTGAAGAAAGTGTACTCATTCGTTTTTCTTTGTCTTTTTTTTATTGCCATGATTAATAATTTTTTCAATTTAGAAATACCTTCTTAAGTAAGAAATAACATGTGTTATTTTTCTTTCCAGTTATATTTCTTTCCAGTGCTGTCAAAAATGAGTTCTAATTTGGAAGAATTTATATTTGACTTAATTTTCCTGTACTTAATTGTCAGGAGCGGGTTGAAAGCTATTCTAACTTAAGCATCCTTTCGAAGAGCCCCGAAGACTGTGGCTGCCAGGCTTGTGGGCTGCATCGCCACTGTAAATTCTCAGTGCATCTCTCAGGAAAGCTATACAACACCAGGACGATGGAGACGGATGACTTCATGTCAAGTGACAAGCAGGTATCTTTACTAATGTCTCTGCCTGCTGTTTAGAAAATTCAGGCTTCATAGCTTGTCCTCTAGATAGCTCTCACAAATAGAGAAAATACTACAAAGAAAAGAATATAAGGAAATATGGTATATTTGATTTTCTTTCTTTTAGTATGCCACTGATACTAAACAAAGGGTCTCAGCTTGTTAAACAAGCATGCATCCCTAACCCCAGGCTACAATTTTTGAAGGTGAAAAATGCATCTGATATAGCTAGCATATTCACACCCTAATTTAGTGAGATGAAATCAGTGCATATTCTTCATCTCTGTAAACCTTATTATAGGATGGGTGTGATGAGGACAGTTACTGGGGCAAGAAAGGAACAAGGAAGGCTGCCTTTGATGTTCAAAGAACAATATGACGTAGGTCAAAACCTTGTGTCAGGTAGCACCCAAATTAGTAGTTTATAGGTAAGTAATTGAAGATGCCTGTTTAGCCTACAGTGAGAGAATTCAAAGAGAATTCACTATACTTCAATTTAGACAATATCTGATTTGTCAGTGTCTAGAGCAATTATTTACCTGACTAAGATGCTGTTAAATTTGAGTATAGAAAAATAATTTCAAGAATAAATAATTGCTAGGCATGGTGATACACATCTTTAATCCCAATACTCAGGAGGCAGAAAGAAGCAGGCATAAGCTTCCTAGTCCACAGTCAGGGGTACACAGAGAAACTGCAGCTCAAACAGACAAACAAACAAGCAAAAAAAAAAAACAAAATTAAAAAAATAGTTAATAGATAAGAGTGGGACAGTATAATGTGAACTCATAAAAAAATGTAGAATCTGTGGTTTTTAATCTTACCTTGTAAAAAGGGTACGTTTGTGAGTATACTGAGACCTTCCTCTAGTGACACTGCATATCTTTGTAGGATATATGGTTTGGATGAGATAGAGACCCAAAATTGCTAAATCTTCCATTATGAAAGTGGAGGAAATATGGCTTACTGGAAAGTATGATTCATGAGTACTATTGGGCAACAATTGACCAGATCCCTCTGAGAAATGCAATGAAGATTGGAAAACTCATTTAGAGATTTTAGTCATGGGGGTTGGAGATAAATACTTAAGAAAATGTTCATTCTCAACTTAAGAACACACAAGTAAAGCTACTCAATATTCAGATTGACAGCTTATAAATTACCAACATATTTTTAAGTCAGTTGTTGAAAGACAATATGACCAACATAGTTTAGAAGTTTGAAGGCTTATGAAAAGTAAGATTTCTAGAGGAAGAAGGATCAGGCATACTTTTAAAATACAGGTGACTACATAGCTAGAGTCACTGTAGTCTCTATAACTTTGCCCTATAAATATCAATTCAATAAAAGTAAATTGCATGATCACAATGTTCACTGAAGCATTATTAATGAGGAGTGGAGTGGGGATACAAAATAGTGGAAACATCCACGTCAGCCATTAGAATAGTGACATGAGAGTCTGCTACGCAAGAATGTGTGGCAGGATAGAGTGTCATTCAGATAGTGTTGTCACTAATAGTTATTATGGCTGTTTTGAAATGATGTGAAATAAAATAAATTTTCTGCAGTAAATTTTGTTTTAAAAAATAAAATTATTTTATTCTAATTAACTTACAAATAAACACAACACAGAACCAATTTAAGGAAACCAGTAAAACAGGTTTTGCTGCTGCTGTTGTGTTGTTGTTGTTGTTGTTGTTGTTGTTGCTATTGTTGTTTTAGCATAGAATTCAATGGTTTCCATTAAACATATAGCCAGAGTCTACCACTATCATGATACCTGGGGCTTCTCTAGTCAATCAACTGTGATGATTTGCAGATTTCAGGTTATATTTTTGTAGTTATTTAAAAATAAACAACACTGTGTGAATTCAGTGTATGTCTCTTTAAATCTTGATTAGTGTTTCTAAAAGGGTGGAGTTATTTTGAATGTGACAAGTGGATCAAGTCATTAAAATGAGTCAGAGTTCTATTTATCTTCCCTCCAATCTAAGCACCAGTATTTAAGTAAACAACATATTTGTCCAAAAATTTTA